CGACCACTTTGGCCAAAACCACACAGAAAAAAAAAAAAATCTACCTTCCCCCCTTGCCTTGGGGAGAGGATAATAAAAGAGTTCTGTTTCTTGCAAAGAGAAGCCATTAGCATATCAGTAGGACAGTCATTAAGGTCTAAGCTGAGCAAATACCAAAACCTGAAAAACTCACCCCCAGCCAAGTGGTTGGTGTGAAAAAATTCACCAGAAGCTAGTGAAAAAGAAAAAGAAACTATAACAGATGGTACCATTACACTAGGGCTATGATTCAGGTAAATGGTTTACCAAGGTTACAAAGGATAACTGCTTATCCTTTGATGTGCACCTTGGTCAGGCTGCTGTTGTTTCTGGTTGTTCCCACCCTTACCATGCAAGAGCACCTGGTACAACCAGGGAGTGCCTCACAGCCCAATTGGTATGGTCAATGGATGCTTCACTTCTCAGCTGGTTTGGTTGAAGCTTAACAGGAACTTCTGAGATAATAGAGCAGAGCAAAGGATGGAAGGATGGTGGAGATGTACCACCACAACCCTACATTGCCCTACTTTGGACATGTTCCAGCACCTCAATGTCTTTCTTGTAGCGAGAGACCCAAATCTGAACACAGGACATTCCACTGAGTTTCCTGCCCCTTCTTCCAAAGGTACTAAACTCCTTTTTTTCCTGTGTTCCAACAAATCGGAACAGGTCCTTAAGGGAACCAACTAGGAAAGATGCCCTCCTTGATCTGCTCCTTGTCACCAGAGACGATCTCATGATGGTGTGATTCTTGGGGATGGTCCTGTGCAAGGCTAAGAGTTGGACTTGATGATCCCTGTAGGTCCCTTCCAACTAAGCATATTCTGTGATGCTCTGATTCTTTGAAAATGTCACTGTTCAGCCAGGTTGGCCTTCTTCCCTGCTGTCTCATCTTTCAGCACATAGGGACAGCCTCTTCCTGAACCTTGAAGATTTCTTTCTTGAAAAGTGTCCAGCGTTCCTGGACCCCTTTGCCCTTCAGGTCCACTGCCCAAGGGACTGTCTCAACCAGTCTCCTAAACAGGCCAAAGTCTGCCCTCTGGAAGTCCAAAGGAGCGGTTCTGCTAGCACTCCTCCTTCTCTAAGAATTGAAATCTCTTTCATCATGTCATTGCTGTGCCCAAGACTGCCTCCAATCATCACATCACCCACCAGTCCTTCTGTGTTCACAAACAACAGGTCCAGCAGGGCACCTTTCCTAGTTGGTTCACTCACCAGCTATGTCAGGAAGTTATTATCTTACACATACTCCTGGAACCTTCTGGACTGTTTTCTTTCTCCTGTGTTGTATTTCCAGCAGATATCTGGCAAGTTGAAATCCCCCACGAGAACAAGGGCCAGTGATCATTAGACCTCCCAGCTTCTTATAGAATATTTCATCTGCCTCCTCATCCTGGTTAGGTGGTCTATAACAGACTCCCATCAGGATATCTGCATTTTTTGCCTTCCCTCTGATTCATACCCATAAACACTGGAGCCTTTCATTACCAGTGGCAAGCTCTAGACAGGCAAAACACTCTCGAAGGTGAAGGGCTTCATCACTGCCTACCTAAAAAGTCAATAATGGATAATAATCTGAGGGCTGTACCAGGGTAGGAAGCTTTCTCTTCACATCTTGAACCTGGGCCCCAGGGAGGCAGCAGACTTCCCTAAGGAGTGGGTCCAATCTGCATATGGTGCCTTCTGTTCCCTTCAGAAGGGAGTGTCCTATGACAATGATCCATCTCTTTTTTTCTTTATGTAGAGCTGTTGTCATGGTTGTTATTTATCTTTCTTGCAATAAAGCAGCTAGTAGATTCCAGGGAAGGAGAGAGGGTGTGTGGTGAGAAGGGACTTGTCTATTAACTCTGCTCATTTTGGTGAAGCCATTAAGAAGAAACCGTTGTGAGGAACTGGACTTTTTAAATTGTCTTACAACATTGCTACTGAAGAGAGCTGTGCAAGCCTTCTTCCAGGGGATTGAAGATAAGGCTGAAGGGAGGAGGCCATAGCCCACAAGCTGTTAGATTTGTGAGGCCCTAGGGGGTCTTATGTGTGTGATGCTTCTTTTAGGTGTGTGATGTTTATCTAAAGGAGACCAGTGGCACTCTCCTGGGGTGTGATGCTTATCTCCTATGAGCCAGACTGTGTCAAAAGTAACCTTTGTGCACACACCCATGACTGCCCTAGAGAATGACTGGGTTTTAGCTGCGGTGCCTCCCCTCCCCTTCCTCCCCCACCCAAGGCTAAATGACTTTGCAAAGACAAGGGTTTCCAGCCTCTGCAAAAGTGACCACCCCCCTCCCTTCAGGAGGTGGCACCAGGAGGGTTTCTCAGGGTATATAAACCCACCAAATTTTGATTCACAGGCTTCTGTCCCTCACCTCCCCCTGATGGACCAAGACACCAACTACAACAACAACCAAGTTTGATGGAAACCTTTGAGTGGTGACTATAATTGCCCTAGAGAATGCCTGGCTTTTAGCAGGGATGCCTCTGGGGTGGCCCCCTCCCCTCCAAGTCTAAATGACTTTGCAAAAACCAATACCTCCAGGCTCTGCAAAAGCAGTCGCCCCTCCCCCCCAGGAGGGTTTCTCAGGGTATATATACCCACTGAATTTTGTGTGGGCTTCTCCATCACTCCCCAACGGACTAAGACACCAATGACAACAACAACCAGGTTTGGCAGAGACCTTTGAATCTCTATAAAACTTTTTTCTTTTCTCTCTTTCTTTCTCTCTTTTCCCTTACATATTTCTTGGGTGGCTATATAGCAACCTAAATGGCTAAATACCTGTTTTGCTTTTCAATACCTTTATGCTTTATATTGCCATATTACTATAGATAATAACAACCAAAACAACTACATACCTATTTTACTTTGCAACCAAATTGTTCTAAAATAAATCCTATATATATATATATCTGCAAACACTGATAATCTAGTATCATTTTACTTTAATTTACTCCAAGGGATTTAATAATAAATCAGAAGATACTCCTGCCTGGTAGGGCAGGTCCATTTACAAGTTGACTTTGTAGAGAAAAGTGGGACCTGCTTACTGAATTTTTTTGCATGACTTCCATCTCATTACTATCTCTGCCAATTCTTCAGTAATTGAGAGTTTCTCAGATCGTGTTTTATAGTCTTCTCAATGAGAAAAGAATACATTGTTGCAATAGTGAGGTGAAGTTTTGGGGGGTAAGCTGACCTCTATTAAATAAAATTTAAATTACTAATCTGATCATTATATCTGTGTGTGTTTCAGTACTAAGCATGAGTATTTGTCTCTTACCAAGTTGTAAATAAAACACCCTCAAAGACAAATGTTAGGCAACTGTAATGGACAAAATACAGAAACTTTGTGTTAAAAAGATCTTTCTTCGATTAGAAGAAATCCTGCTCTAGGATCCTACTAACTACTCCAATTTGTCGTTAATGGGAAATTTAGACCACTTTAAGAACCACAGCCTAAAGTATTGGCAAAAGTGGTTTTATTGAAATATGATGTTATAAAAGTGTGACAAAGTTTGATAGCAAGGTTTGCTCTATTACTGTACTGCACAAAGGATTTAACAGTGATCAAAGTTACCAAGACAAAATCTTAGTGCTCTATATTATAATGTTATAAGCGATATCAGTCACTTACCAAAGAACTGCACTTGGGAAGAGATCTCTTGACCTCGAGGAGCAACCTTGAGAGGCATCCCAGCTCAAGGGAAGATCACTGCCATGGAGCCAGATGCTTAGCAGGGAGAGCTCAAAGAAGGCTCACTTAGCCTGTCATATTTATGGAATAAAGTGGTTGGCTTGTAGTCAAATTGCATACAATGGGAAAGGTATGCATGAGACTCCTTGTACCCACAATTTTCTTTGTTCCTTGATAAATGAGTTTTGGAAAAATCACTTGCTGCTCATGTGTTCATCGCATGATTGGTGTTCCAAGCTCATAAGCATTGATGCTCACTGGGTCACTCTGCCCCTTTGTGGGTTTTCAGAGAACATATTGGAACTAGATAAACTCTTGGCCTTTCTACAGCTCAGACTTTTATGTCCTTTGGAGCCTGTACCAAACTTCTCCTAGTTCAGTTAAGGGGTTGAGTGCATCTGTCACATAACTATAATGGGAAACCATAATAATAAATTTATTTAGATAGGGCACTTTTAACCAGTGCTCTCAACTTTTTTGTCCTGTGTAGTCTTAAAGATTTTTTTAAAGTTTTTATCTTCTTTATTGCTATGTTTAAGATTCTGCACATAATTTTTAGCTGTCCAGATATTTGGCTATGAAGAGGAAACAGAAAAAACATGAATCTCAAAATTAGGGCTATAGTTATAGAATTATATAATCACAAAATGATTTGGGTTGGAAGGAACCTTAAAACTCATCCAGTTTCAACCCTCCTGCCATGGGCAGGGACATCTTCCACTAAACCAGATTGCTCAGGGCCCCCGCAGCTTTTCTGGGCAACCTGTTGCAGTGCCTCACCACCCTCACAGTAAAGAATTTCTTCCTAATATCCAATCTAAACCTACCCTCTTTCAGTTTAAAACCATTCCCCCTTGTCCTATCACTACATGCCTTTGCAAAAAGTTCCTCTCCAGCCTTCTTGTAGGCCTCCTTTAAGTACTGGAAGGCTGCTCTAAGGTCTCCCTGGAGCCTTCTCTTCTTCAGGTTTAACAGACCCAACTCTCTCAGCCTATCTTCATAGGAAAGGTAGTCCAGCCCTTTGATCATCTTCCTGGACCTCCCCTGGACTCGCTCCAACAGGTCTCCATCTTTCTTGTGTTGGGGGCCCCAGACCTGGATGCAGTACACCAGTTGGGGTCTCACCAGAGGAGAGCAGAGGGGAAGAATCACCTCCCTCAACCTACTGGCCAAACTTCTTTTCATAAAATCATAGAATTGTTAAGGTTGGAAAAGAATTTTAAGATCATCAAGTCCAACTGTGGGTCTTAGACCTGGTCTTCTCCTACAGCTAGTGGTTCTTCATTTTTCCAATCCCTGTCCTTCACCTTCTGTACCCCGGGTGGTGTGGCTGGAGCACTTGTTTGTGAAGACCAAGGCAAAAAAGTTATTCAGTACCTCAGCCTTCTCCATGTCCTGGGTAACTAGTCTCCCACATACTTCCTGTCATGCTTTTACCTTTTTTATTTTTTTTACATAGCTCTTGTCCATTAAAAGAAGATAAGTTAAAAGCCTTGCACTACATTATAGATGCAATTTAGAATGAGAAGAGGAAATAAATCAAAAAATTTTCATGTGGTTATAATAACATAGGAAATTAAATTGCATTTAGACAGAGTGGACTAGTATTTTAATTTTTTCAGTATGAAAGAGTGAAAATATTTAATGATCCACTGTACATGTATGATTTTGCAGTGTTTGACCATTGGCAGAGAAATTGTGGTTTTCAGTTGCCACCTAAATTTTTATTTATATTATTTAGTATTTTCAGAATATATTAATAGTTGTTAAAATATCTTAGGGTTTAACCTTCATTTGAGATTAAATTTAACCTAATGTTTATCTTTGATTTTATTTCTTAAAGGCCCTATTGAATTTGAGGAATGTTACACATCCAATGCAGTTGAAGGTGAGTTGCTGTAACGTAGTTATTTACCTAAGAATCCTGTGTATAGGACCTGAACCTAAGGAGACAAGAATATTCACATTTTAATTTCTATATTCCAATAGACCAAAAAGCTATTTTTCTTTTGAGAAACAAACTTCTATGGAAATGAAACCTAAAATACTTTATGCAGGTAGTTTTAGATTAGCTATGAGGAAGTAATTCTTTACTGTGAGAATGGTCAGGTACTGAAACAGGTTGCCCAGGAAAGCTGTGGCTGCCCCATCCCTAGAAGTGTTCAAGGACATGTTGGATGGGGCTTGGTACAACCTGGTCTAGTGGAAGGTGTCCCTGCCCATGGCAGCAGGGTTGGAACTAGATGATCTTTAAGGTCCCTTCCAACCCAAACCATTCTGGGATTCTGTGATAAGCCTTTTGACTGAAGCAAAGGCAATACATGTTAAGAAACTGCTCTCACATTCCATTTGTCATTGTTTTGGTCTGGATAAAGCACAAAAAGGAACTAAATCCCAGACTAGCATTTAAAAATAGTTTTGAAGCTATTTCTGTCTCTATTAAACTATAAGATATGACTGAGTTTATAGCTACCTGATTTGTGAGAAGTTTTGAGTTATTTCACCCTGAAAATTTCTAAAAGTGAAGAGATTCCTTATGTGCTGTGTAATGTATTTCTGTAAATGGGAATACTGAGGTTTTTCTTAATTATGTGCTCAAATTGTCAGTTGTTAAATTATAGAAATGAAATTATTTCCACCATTTTGCCTAAAGTCTTGCTGTAGGTAGTATCTTACATCAAAATAAAACTATAGACTAGTTGGATCAGATGCTTGCACTTGGTCATTTTGTTTCAAGTTTGGCAGTCTACTTTGATTCAGCAAAAAATGGGGAGAGAATCAGACATGGCAATAAGTCTGATGGAATATTTAAATATATTTTAATTGTAGTGCATTAAATGGGTATGAAAGCAAACTTTTTTCTTTACTGAAGCTATATATATCCAGTGCTAAAACCAGGGAAGAAAAGACAAAGAGAAGGCATGGTTCTAGACTCAGAGGGAGCCAGCATTATTGCTGGCTACAGCATTGGGAAATCATGAAGTCAGCATCAGCTGGGAAGCCAAGAGATGTTAGTTTTTACAGGACCAAGATGCTGATTTTTAGGAGAGACAAAGGCTTGCAGGTATCAGGAACATGGAGGGAAATAAGAACAGGGTATTGAACTGCAGTAGCTGAGTTCAGTTTTTGACCCAAGCACATTGACTATTCAGAATTGGCTGGATCAATAGCTCCTGTTGAGTTTCTGTCAGCAGAGTCCCTTTCCTCAAATCTGGCAGTGCACCCATCTTCTATAAAATAAGTGATAGTCTAGCATACCCAGTTTGGAGAGTTGGATGTAAAACAGAGATTACTTTTATAAAGGTTTATGTTATTATTGTGTTGTGTGAACCTTTTTTTTTTTTTTTTTTATGAAGCTGATGCATTTTAACTTTGGTAGACAACCCAACCCCACACAGTTGCTTGCTGTCTCTCCTCCAGTGGGATTGGGGAGAGAATTGGAAGGGTAAAAGTGAGAAAACTTGTGGGTTGAGATCAAGATAGTTTAATAGGGAAAGCAAAAGCCATGTGCTCAAGCAAAGCAAACCAAGGAATTAATTCACCACTTCCCATGGGCAGGAAGATGTTCAGCCATCTCCAGGAAAGCAGAGCCCCATCATGCATAACAGTGAGGAGACAAACACCATCACTCTGAACGTTCCCCCTACCTCCTCCTTCCCCCAGCTTTATTTACCAAGTATGATGTCATATGGTCTGAAATATCTCTTTGGTCAGTTGGGGTCAGCTGTCCCCACTGTGTGTCCTCCCATCTTCTTGTGCACTCCCAGTCTACTCACTGGTGAGGTGGTGTGAGTAGCAGAAAAGGCCTTAACTCTGTGTCAGCACTGCTCAGCAATAACGAAAACATCCCTGTGTTATCAACATTGTTCTCAGCGCTAATCCAAAGCACAGCCCCATACAAGCTACTGTAAAGAAAATAACTGCTCCATCCCAAACTGGTACATTATGTTACTGAACAACATATTGGAATAATGTTCCCTTAGTTTATTCTTCTGTTCATTTAGTTTAGCTCCATACCTACCTCCACTGTTAGATTTTTGTATCACCTGTCACGGCAGCTTTTAAAAGGTATTGGCATTGGTATGCACCAGTGTCTGACATATTGACCTATATACTAATTTCTTTGATCTTTAAATGCAAAGTGTTTGTTTCACAGGGATAAAACCACGAAAGAGGAAGCCTTTTGGTTTTTCAGGAATAATGAAAAAAGAAAAAGATATCGAGTCTATGTAAGTATATTCCCAGCTTGAAACCTTGTCTTATATGAAAACTAGCTGATGTGGAAAAAAAAAATGAGTTTATTACAGAAGTTTAGAGTAGTACCATGAATATTAAAACATTGCAGCTATTTCAAAAGTTTCTAATTAAAATTTTAAAGAAATAATATAAATGTTTTCATAGTAATCTACTCATGTTTAATTCTTTCCTCTGCAGAGGTAAGTAGTTCTCCCTTGTTCTACATTTGAACATGGTAGATAATGTGATTCTCATGTGTACTCCTAACAAAGTAGTAGCTCTGTACGTGGAAAAAGTATTGTATGTCTGTGTTTGCAGAATTGAAGCTCCATTTATTTGTTAGAAAAACTTGTGTACTGTATAGAAAGATAGAGAAAATGTTCAAATTTTTTTCAGTAAATCATGTGCACACTGATTTCTGAAAGACCATCATTCTAACTCATGATTGATGTCCCACCATGACAAGTTGACACTGGGTGGATGCCAGGTGTCCACCAAAACCACTCTGGCACTCCCCTCCTCACCTAGACTGGGGAGAGAAAATATAATGAAAGGTTCATGAGTTGACATAAGGACAGGGAGAGATCACTCACCAATTACCATCATGGGCAAAACAGGCTCAACTGGGGAAATTATTGAATTTATTACCAATCTAATCAGAGTAGGATAATGAATATAAACCAAATCTTAAAACACTCTCCCCTCACCCCTCCTTTCTTCCTGGGCTTAATTTCACTCCCTATTTTCTCTACTTCTTCCCCACAGTGGCACAGGGGGATGGAGAATGGGGGTTGCAGTCAGTTCATAGAAATCATAGAATCATAGAATATTGTGAGTTGGAAGGGACCCACAAGGATCATTGAAGTCCAACTCCTGGCCCTGCACTGGAAAGCCCCAAGAATCACATAATGTGCTCAAGAGAGTTGTCCAAACACTTCTTGAACTCTTGCAAGCTTGGTGCTGTGACCACTTCCCTGGGGAGCCTGTTCCAGTGTCCAACCACCCTCTGAGTGAAGAACCTTTTCCTAATATCCAACCTAAATTTCCCCTGACATAGCTTCAGACCATTTCCTTAGGTCCTGTCACTGCTCACCACAGAAGATATCAGTGCCTGCCCCTCCACTTCTCCTCATGAGGAAGTTGTAGACTGCAATGAAGTCTCCCCTCAGTCTCCTCCAGGCTGAACAGACCAAGTGATCTCAGCCACTTCTCATATGGCTTCCCCTCAAGGCCCATCACCATCTTCATTGCCCTCCTTTGAACGCTCTCTAATAGTTTTATATCTTTCTTATATTGCGGTGACCAAAACTGCACACAGTATTCAAGGTGAGGCCTCACCAGTGCAGAGTAAAGAAGGACAATCATCTACCTCAACCGGTTTGCGATGCTTTGCCTGATGCACCCCAGGACACGCTTGGCCCCCCTGGCTGCCAGGGCACACTGCTGACTCATATTCAACTTGCTGTCAACCAAGACCCCCAGGTCCCTTTCCGTAGCACTGCTCTCTAGCCTCTCATTCCCCAGTCTGTCCTATATCCAGGGTTGCCCCATCCCAGGTGCAGAATTTGTCACTTTCCCCTGTTGAACTTCATATGGTTGGTTATTGCCCAGTTGTCTCAGATTGGTTTCCAGTCCAGTGCCTGGACCACAGTAAAAAACCTTCCCCCTCTCTCTCCCTCTCTTTAGACAGACCAAAAAGACTATATAAAACCAAAAGAACTGAAAACAAATAATATATATTTATATATTTTTTGGAATTATATGCAGTTAAGATATTATTTTCAGGGAACCCCCAAAAGGGAAAAAGAAAGGGAAAGAGAAAAAAGGGAAAAGGGAAAAAGGGACAAAACCAGATACTTTCCTCAAGATAGAGAACTGCATCAGCAACTGCCTGAACTATCTGCTTCTCAAGGCCAACCAGGCCCACTAGACCTCACTCCTTCACCTGGGCAGAATGATAGCAGAGAACCTTTGCTTTCAGTCCGCCAGAAGAAAAAGAGCAAGAGCTTCCTCTCCCTTCTTCTTTATACCCTTGCTTATGTAAAAATCGTATGGAATACTGGGAATATGGTCTTGGTTCCTTGGTTACAACCTGGTTACCAAGGAAGGCCTAGACTCCAAACCTCATCAGTCCTCTCATTTTTCAAGGTCTCTCTGCAGAGCCTCTCTGCTTTCAAGCAGAGCTCCTCCCAATTTAGTCATCATCATCGTGGCTAGGCTTTGCAAATGAAGATTTGGAAAGGACTTGACCCACGCTTGCTGCAAGCGAGCTGATGGCTAAAAAGGCCAATGCGAGATAGACAATCTGGTTGCAGAAGGCACAGCAGAAAGTCTCCTTAGGCGGTATCGTCAAGACACGTTTTTTTTCTGTGTTGTCTTTTCTCCTCAAGAACAATTTTGCATGTGTTCTCAAAAGCAGCAGCAGCGTTATAGATAGTGTGTCTCCATGTTTCCCAATTGGAGGCCAGAGTAGACCAATGGTGATGATCAATATGGCCAAGGCTGAGGAATTGTTTCAGGGAGTCCTTGTATCTCCTCTTCGGGGCTCCTCTCTTTCGGTAGCCAGTGGCAAGTTCCCCACAGAGCACAATCTTAGGGAGGCAGCAGTCCTGCATCCTGGAGATGTGCCCTGCCCAGTGCAACTGTGTTCTCAGCAGCATGGCCTCAATGCTTGTGACTGCTGCCTGTTCAAGGACAGACGTGTTGGTCACATAATCCATCCAGTGGATGTTTAGGATTGTACGGAGGCAGTGCTGATGGAAGCGTTCTAAGAGACGCAAGTGGTGGCAGTAAATGACCCATGATTCAGATCCATATAAAAGAGTAGACAGTACAATGGCTCTGTAAACACTGATCTTAGTACTTTTCTTCAGGTGTTTGTTTTGCCACACTCTTTTATGGAGTTTACCGAAAGCTCTGTATGCCTTTGCTAACCTGTTGTCTATTTCAGCATCAATCTTACCATCCGAGGAGATGAAGCTTCCTAGGTAATTAAACTGCTGGACTGATTTAAGCTCTGTTTCATCAATGATGATATGGGGATGGTGGAAGACTTCCTGAGGTGCAGGTTGATAAAAAACTTCTGTCTTCTTCAAGCTGACTTCCAGCCCAAAAAACTCAGCAGCCTCTGCAAAGCAGGATGTTAAACGTTGTAGAGCTACTTCTGTGTGGGCGATGAGGGAGGCATCATCAGCGTAAAGCAGTTCACAGATAAGATGGTTTAAGGTCTTAGTGTGGGCCTTCAGTGGCCTTAGGTTGAATAGGTTTCCATCGGTACAATATCAGATGTAGATACTGTTTTCTTCATTTAGGTCTACCGTTTCCCTTTGGAGCATCATGTTGAAAAAGATTGTGAATAGTGTTGGTGCAAGAACACAGCCTTGCTTCACATCATTGGTTATTGGAAAGGGCTCAGAAAGTGCATCGCCACATCTGACTTGGCCACGTTGATCCTCATGAAGCAAAATGATCATTTTGAGGAACTTGGAAGGACATCCTAAACGTTCCAAAATCTGCCACAGACCTTTTCTGCTCACAGTATTGAAAACTTTGGTGAGATCAACAAAAGTTACATAGAGACCTTTGTTCTGTTCCCTACACTTCTCTTGCAGTTGTCTGAGAACAAATACCATGTCTGTGGTACCCCTATTGGCTCTGAAACCACATTGGCTTTCAGGTAGAACTTCTGCTATAGCAGGTATTAATCTGTTCAAAAGAATTCTTGCAAGGATTTTACCAGCAATGGAGAGCAAAGTAATACCTTGGTAATTTGAGCAGTCTGATTTATCTCCTTTCTTCTTGCACAAGGTGATGATGACTGCATCAGGAAGATCTGATGGTAATTTGCCTCGTTCCCAACAGTGCACCACGAACTTGCGAAATTTAGCATGGAGTGCTTGGCCACCATGCTTCCAGACTTCAGGTGGAATTCCATCAACCTGTCCCAGTTTAAATGAGACAAGTAACCCCTTCAGAAACAAAACTGATAAACTGGCAAAAAGCGAAGTAAACAGTTCAACTTTTGCACCTTTTGGTGCAATTCCAACCACAGTCAGCAGGGGGCGCCGTCGGATCACCGGAGATGCAGAACTTGTAATGTCTGAAACCCAGTACGTGGGTACATCGGAGAAAAAACCCAATCCAACCAAAAAGGAACCTTCTTTCCCTTCCTGCACACTGAGAAAGGGAAGAGGGAGAGGGGAAAAGGGATGTCGTGGTTTTGCTCTGGGTCAATTTGCTTTCACACCCCACACACAATTACTACTAGTTGAGGGAAGGTTTATGCAGACAAAAGAGGCAAGATTTGAGGAAAATAATATGAGCATTTATTACTAACAAAATAAAAACTACTAAAGAATTATATCTACAATAATTCTACTTAGGTAAAAGTGCTATGTATTTACAGAAATACTCCTCTCCCCTTTATACCAGTCCAAGGAGGAGAAGTAGTTTCATTCTCCATTCTTGGAGTTCCAGCTCTCTCTCTCTATTAACTCTGCAGCACTCTCGTCGCAGTTGGAACTTTTCATCTCTTGCTCTCGCTCTGTGTTGGCCTCCAGGGCTGGGCCTACCCCCCTCCTGGGCTAAGACTGAAGGTTGGGGGTTACCCAGGTCCTGAAGGGTCTTCCTTCCATAGGCTTGCAAGGGGACACTTGCTTACTATGGATCTTCTTCCACAGAGTTACAGGGGATAATGGCTTAAGAGTTCACCCCTGTTTCCCTATGGAGGTCCCTCCCCATGGGAGAACAGTCCTTGATAGACTTCTCGGCATGGGTCTAGCACGGATCCCACACACACACAGATCCCAACATCTCACCTGGGCCGCCTTGCTCCAGTGTGAGGTTTTCTCAGTCACAAATTCTCAGCAGCAGTATGGATCCACACACACACGAATCCCAAGCTTACCCTAACCATTCTGCTCCAGCGTAAGCTTCATTCCCCTCAGGGTCATATTCAGAGTTACAAATCTTCAACAGGTCTCTGCCTTATCTC